GCCGTAGATGGATACAGAGTTGTGGCTGTAGATGAATACAGAGCTGTGGCTGTAGATGGCTACAGAGTTGTGGTTGTAGATGGATACAGAGTTGTGGCTGTAGATGGATACAGAGTTGTGGCCATAGATGGATACAGAGTTGTGGCTATAGATGAATACAGAGCTGTGGCTGTAGATGGATACAGAGTTGTGGCTGTAGATGGATACAGAGTTGTGGCTGTAGATGGATACAGAGTTGTGGCTGTAGATGGATACAGAGTTGTGGCCGTAGATGGATACAGAGTTGTGGCCGTAGATGGATACAGAGTTGTGGTTGTAGATGGATACAGAGTTGTGGCCGTAGATGGATACAGAGTTGTGGTTGTAAATGGATACAGAACTGTGGCTGTAGATGGATACAGAGTTGTGGTTGTAGATGGTGCCATGGTCATCATCAGCTGTATTGTATAATATTAGGAACTACAGGATATGGTGATTGTGGTGATTCAAATACTGCAGAAAGTCGATCACTCAGCAAAAAAGCAACAAATTCAACTGTAATTTTGATGAAGTAGACCTTATACTGACTGTAGAGCAAGTGCTTAAAATGGCTAGCTTGACATGGTCCTATCTCGGCCACCCCAGGCGCTGGCTAACAAGTGCAATTATTAGGACCACAGCTCTGTCTACTGAGCACCAAACACAAGTGTCAGAAGACCTTTTCCACAAGAAAGTTCCTCCAGAATGTCTGCAGGTTAGGAGGATCCTGAACTTGAACCAACAATCCCAGGCAGATCTATTGGGCTGCTGGCTCTTTGTATCTAGTTAGCTGCATGTAAGTATCACCTGAGGTCATACAGACTCCTTTTTAATGTCTTGTTTCCTCTGCAGGTGAAGCTCTAAAGTGTCGGTTGGCCTCTTGTGTTGGGAATGAAACCTGTTTCATAAAGCAAACCACCTGCGACACAAGATTTGACCAATGTTTTCTTATGCTGAGGACCAAACCCATCTGTAAGTAAGCTACGCATAGAGAATTATGGTGAAGCTGTATTTGCAATAGTCACTCTTCTCATCAATAAGGAACACTTCTACAAACCATCTTTGGACATTGTAGGCCCGCCCATGATCTGTGTTTCTCCAACCCATTTTCTAGGTGGATTCACCTAAATCACACCCACTTGCTGAGTTGGTCCCACCCAGACCGCACCTCTAACTATGTGGGGGCCAACCACCACGCCCAGTTGATGTGTTGGTTCTGCCTCGACCCCGCCTCTAAATATCCAGGGACCACCGAACCATGATCCTGATCCCCAGAATTAATGGCTTTCTGAGTCGCTGTGCACATGCAGTAACACAAATAAGGTTGATACTGTGATGCCGGGACATGTCCAAGGAAACAGCATTGGTGGGACCGAGGACCAAGATATGGAACTGTGCACCAGTAGGTATGACTGTTCTTTGCCTAGCTGGGCAATGATCATAAAAAAGGGAGACTCCTCCTCCTGACCCAGCTGTTGTCTTCAGGAAGATGAGGGATTTTTAAGGCTGAACTCCAAGCATTTTAAAACACTACCCTTGCTTGCACCCCCATCCTGCACTGTGAGGGTTAAATGCCCGCTTTTCCTAGGGTACCATTAAAAAGCCCACAACCCAGAGCATCTTAGGGGAATGCCAACTGCTGGGGTAGAAAAGGACAAGGTAATTTAAGGTGCTTGGTAATGGTACCCTTAGCAAAAATGTGCATTTAACCCTTGCAGTAGGGGGGGTCCAACTGTAAGGATAGTTAATTTAGTTCAGTTTTAGTAATAAAAGGTGAAGCTTTCCTGACAAATGATAGTGTTAATCTTGTCATATCTGGTTATCTTGTCTCATAATGTTTACGGAAAACACTAAGGGGGGTAAAAACTCTGTGTACCTTCGCTCTTTTCAAATGGAGACAAAAACTATTGTTATATTTTCTCTCCAGGTTGAATATAATATCAAAATAATACAGCACTACGGCCCCTATATGGTAAATGCTTCTTTCCTATGCTCCTCACCGCCATCTAGTGGCCATATTGCATTATTTTCCTGATATTACATACAACCAGGAAAGTTAACGAAGAACTATGAGGTGGGTGCTTTTTACTCACCTCATAGTTCTAGCCGACCTGTGGCAATGAGACTGTCACAGGTCAGCTCAGTAGATCGGGAGGTGAGCGAACACATACCGGCGTTCGCTCACCTCTCGATCCTGTCACGGCTCTCTGCCGTGACAGGGGAGGGGCTGCATTCCCCCCTCCCCGCTCCGATCCGCCAGTGCTGACTGGCGGAACAGACGGTGGAGGGGGCGGGTACAGCTGGCTCTGCCTTTAGATAGACAGAGCCAGCTGTCACTCACGCAGCTGGGCGGATCCCGACACAATTGTCGGGATCCGCTTCAGCTGCGGCGTCTCAGTATATAGGGAGCTGTAGCTCGCGGTATACTGAGCCTAGGGTGACGGGAGGACGCTAGTTTGTGTCCTCCCGTTACCCTAAGGAGAACTATGGGCAAAAGACTTTACCCCATAGTTCTCCTTTAATATACTAAGAAACTTCATTTTTTGCAGCCATTCAAAAAGAACTAACGCACACAGAGTTTCACAAGGTGAATGTTTATTATAAATACTCCCTTTAGTGATTATTACCCGATCAGAAAGTTTAATGACGATGTTTTATAGGTGATATCTGATAAATGACATGTCAGATCCTGACTCTTCACCTGACATAGAATTATTTATTTTTTCTCTCTCTGTCGCTATTATTGAATATTCTCCATTCATTACTTTCTGCTGTTTTACAGACACCATGGCCCGGGGGTGTACTTCAGAAGCTAACTGTATAGTAATGAAAGCCTATGAACCTTCAACACGGTGCTGCTATACAGACCTCTGTAACTGAGCCGAAGATCCAGAAGAAGTGTGATGGGATAGATGAGCAGAGCCAACGCTGAGCCGAATCATTCCATTTCCTGTTCAACACGGTTCTATATCTCCTCCTAGTTCAGTCCATGTTATATTATCTGCTCCACACTCGGGATAATAAAACTCGTATGCAGTGATATTTCAGAGTCTTATTGATCAATCATAATCAATATTTATTTATTGTTTGCCCAGAATATCTGAAGCCCGAGTCCAGCTTGAGAGAACTAAAAATAAATCATTGTCCTGACCGGAAATCCTTGAGAAGAGACATATTTTGCAGAGTCTGCAGATATATGTCCTTGCGGACCTTGCAAAAATAAAACTGTTGATCTTTACAATCCTTGGGACTAGGGGTGTAACCACAGATCATGGGGCCCTATAGCAAAATTTTGATGGTGTCCCCCAGCAACCTCCCTACTGTTAATTATATTAAAGTCAGGTAGCAGGAGAACTACTGCCTGCATAGTGTGTCCTCCCCCATCTGATGTCAGCTCTACTTGATTAATAATGTCAGTGTCAGCAGCAGCTTCTGCAATTCTTATTGGGGGCCCCCTTCCACCTCCAGGCCCCATAGCAACTGCATGGGCCGCTATGGCTATTGTTACGCCACTGCTTGGTACTTATGAATATCAAGATGGATTCTTTAGCTTCACTAACTTTTCCACCTCAATATTTGCAAATGGTGTATATATACCAGATTGTATACATATAACTAAAAGGTATATCTATATCCAGAACCAATTAAAAATACAGTGAGGGGAATTTATCAAAACTGGGGCAGATGTGCATGGCAACCAATCATTGTCTCTGTTTCATCTCAAATCTTAACTGAACAAACTGAAGAGAGAAGCTGATTGGTTGTCATGTACAGCTGCTCCAGTTTTGATCAATTCCAAGTTTAAGTTTGAAATAGGGTGCTTCCATGATACTCAGTTTGCAAAGCATGCTACGTTCAAACCTTCCTTGAAAGATGTCCAACCACCATTCTCCCTCTACCCCCCCC